ATTGAAATCGATTTTAGAATACCCTTCTAATATATTTGCAGATCATTTCCATATCGCGGAATACTCCTGACTGTATTTATGCAAAGTATGTATATAGCATTCAATTTGCTTGGAAAAGCCGCGTGATTATAGAGAATATTATTAATCTTTTTAATCAATCAGAATACAGTATCGGCATACGTGCCAGGTTTCCTTAGAAATACCTATAACAATATGGCCCAATTATTTTGAATTTTGATCTGGAATCCTTGAGCTTTTTGGTTACACGAGTATATAGGCAGCAAGTGTGCAACCTGCCAATATGTTGAGTACCTTCGTTTCATTTTCTGCCGGTTAATCTGTAGTCATAATGTTTTCTCCCACCGCTTCTTCAGGCCCTGTGATTAATAATATTGCTGCTGGGAACTGGCAAGGAGATTTGGTCGTCAAATTACTGTTGAGAGATAGGCGAGAAAAGGCATTTAAGGACTTTGTAGAGTCATGTAAGTATTTCTCATATTTGAATGTAACAAATTATGCGCGTAAAATCAAGTAACAAGGTATTCGACCGTGTATTCCACGAAAGCTCATAACAACAGTTTACTGGCTTATAGTATCAATGACTTTTTATTCGCAAAGACTTAATCACTCTCTTCTTGAGTGTAATTCTTTTAAGTGTAACTGTATATACTCCCTGAAATGTGTTATTAACAAAAGTTTATACACTTTGAATATTATCAAAAATATAGACAATTCTCTCGTCCAGAAACTCGGGAAATTTGCCGATAGAAATGCAGAATTAGAACTTTCCGAAAAGACAGCAACTGAAAAAAACGCCAGTTTATCCCGAGAGATCGAGATTTTAAGGGAACAAGGGTAAGTGTTCTTATATCGCATAAATGCTTATAAAATTGCATAAAATAAATAAATCATCAATTAGGGTTTCATTGAAAACGTGTTTATATCGGGTTAACACTCACTTTTATCATAATATGCGCGTACAACTGTTAGGAGCCCAGTAAATCAGAAAAGAACAGCAGAGTTGGAGCAGCAGATTCAAAGCCTTAAAGATGAACGTGCTGACTTATATAAAACTCAAGGAATGAATGCACAACGATTGTTGGATGTAAATGATGTTTTGCGTAATCACGAAGAGACGGCTAAAAAGAACAAAGAAGAGTAAATGCAGTCATTATCATCTTTTTACTCCTTTGTTCCCTTTTTTTTTTTTTTGTATTAAAACGTCATAACTGAAATAATCTTAATGGCGTTGTCAAATACTTATTAGAATTCAAAAGTTAACTGAAGCAAATCAAACTTTAACAAATAAAGTTGATCTTCAGGTTCAAGTCCTTCGTGAGAAAGACGTTACTATTCAGGTAGTATAAAACAGTTTTTTGATATATACATTATTCTCTATGTAATGGACATTTGATATAACAAATTTGGATTTGAC